TTGCCCTTGTTGAACCTCATCAGGTTCCTCTCTGCCCAACTTTCCAGCCTGTCCAGGTCACACTGAACGGCAGCACAGCCTTCTGGTGTATCTACCACTCCTCCCAGTTTGGTGTCATCAGCAAACTGGCTGAGGGTACATTCTAACTCTTCATCCAGGTCGTTGATGAAGAAGGCAGAAGCAGCTGATGGATGTTGGTGCTCTTCCCTGAGCAAAGGGAAAATGTGTTGGATTAAAACAGCTCAGTGTCTCACCTAAGAAGCCTTTTTCAACCATGACCTTGAACAATTCGATGCTCCCTCCTCCAAAGCGCTCGCCGAAGGCCTTGCCGAGGTCCTCAGCCACGTGTGCGGCCACATCCACACCCACCTCGTCGATCAGCGTGGCAGCGCCGACAGGAAAGCCGAAGGCTGTAGAGATGGCGTCTATTTTCTTTGGGTCAACGCCCTCCTGCAGGAAGAGAAGGGGAAGCAATGGCCTCTCTGGGTGAGGGGCCTGGAGACCCTTTCTGCCCTCACGCATCTGGGACGACGGACTGTGCCCAGCCCCAATCAGTTTGACTGCAGACAGGAGCAGTATAATCACGGCTGTACCGCTCCTGACTCTCCCCTGGTGCCATGTGGGGAGGAAAGCGCCCGATCCCTGCTCGCACCCGGTCTCACCAGACCACAGCTCAGCCAAGAGCAGGCTGGGGACAACCACGAGCGCCGGGGCTGGTCACCCACCTCCCTTCTCGGGCAGGGCTGGGGTCAGCCTGAGCGGGGGGCAAGGAAGCAGCAGAGTTTACAGGACTATTTGGTGGAGCTTGGTAGCCGAGGGGATACGCACCTGGAGAACTCGGACAACTTCTGCCAGCATCGGCCCCAGGCACCTGGTGGTGTAGAAGCCAGGCCCGTCCTAGGGAAGAGAGCAGCAGGAAGGCAGGTGAGTGCAAACCGCAGGGACACGGCCTCTCAGCAGCCCAGGAGCTGCGTTTCACAGCCCAGGCTGCAGTTCAGGCACTGACATGCAGGGCAGACACGCTGAACCCCATTTCTAACAGTGTATTATCGACTGCTAGGATAGTTCCCTCCCGTCGGGCTCAGCAGTTTGAAGACTTCCGTGAACTTACTCCTTGCAAGTCCCCATCAGAGTGTTTTTATTTGAAATCGTGCCTGGAGGTCCCAAGCAGGCTGCAGAAGCCCCCTTGCTTCACCAAGCCCAACGGACTGACAAGGAGAAAGGGTGCTCAGCGCAAGTGAAACAGGCACAAACCAGTTGTTTCACCTCTGATGTTGCTCACAAAGTCAGGAAGCAACAGCTTAGCTGCAAAGTGCCATTCAGGGAAGCATCTGACGTGGGGAGGAGGTCAGAGAAGCAGCACCGTATCTCCACCGGCCTTGAGAGACGCCTAGAGCACTTTCAGACAGAATCACAGAATGGCAGGGGTTGGCAGGGACCTCTGTGGGTCACCCAGTCCAACCCTC